GGATTCGAGCTAGGCAAAAACAAACCATGCAGAAATCGAACGAGGAAGAGGAGAGGGTGACGTTTGATATTTATGGAGACCGGTTGCTTACGTCGGGATTAGTGAGAATTGCAGCAGCTGTGTCGAATGAGCGCGGCTGCCTTCATTCCTCCCGAACTTTCATTAAAAACTCCATTTCATGTTTTTTTTACACAAAAAGTAAAGTAAGGAAAAACAGGACATTTGATTGCTGGTAACCTCATATTTATTTTTAAAAATTAAAAAATACAATGACATGTCCCTGCCTAACTCAAACAATGCGTGACTTTAAAAGCTGTAAAAAAATTGTTTAGATAGCAGGAAGTCACCTTGCTCTTACAAGCGGCTGTTAAGCACTGTAATTTTTGTTAACACAACACAACTTTGTCTGTCAGTGAAAAAAATGACCGCAGGCACTTTTCCTTCCCCCCTATATTCTCATGTATGAGTAGAAAAAACTAAATTCGTAAATCGTACAGGATCATAGGATCCATAGGCCTGAAGACTTGTCTTGTACAATGCCCTGATAAAAATCAAATTAATTACACTAATTTTTATAGAATCCCAATTTTACCAGTGAGGCTTCCATAGTACCCGGATGGAATAGTGCACGGTGGGCTTTTTAAGTGTAAGAAATTATTATTATTACTATTATATTTACTGTATAACGCAACAATTACGCTAGTCATGTTACACTCATACGTAGCGTTTTACGTGAAGGTTAAAGCGGCACACAACAGCTGTACGTTGTGGAACCATTCCGCACTTTGTGGAATTTTCCATTTGTGGCGTGTCATGTCAGGATTCCAAAAACTTTAGGATTTTGGAGGCTTTCGGATTTTGGAATTTTGGATTTTCAACCTGTATAGTCATTAGGAGCTGGTTAAAACTATTCCAAAATAACCACAGTATGTAGCCAAATGAAAGACTTTGATGCTTAAAATGTTTAGGAAGAAAGTGGAATACTGGTAGTATTTTTTTTAAACTACCAATACCAGCCATATACAGTTTACATAATATGTTTACGTTCTTAAATTCATATAGTTTATGAGCAATCTCCGGGAAACCATTATAGGCATGGTGAATCAGAGATTCTGAAAACTTACTTTGTATGATTGGAAACGAATACGTGATTGGATCAGTGAAATGCTTCGAAGAAATAGGCGCTATTTTCCTCTGGTTTAACAGCCTGTGCAGCAACAAAACAATCCGTTTAAACAAGAGAGTGTAGTGTTACTTTTTGTCAATGTAAAAATAAAGTATTTTCGTGTCGCAAAAGTTAAACTGATGCAGACGGTTACAAAGAAAGTGGACTATGGTAATACTTTGAGCTTACAGTCTGTCCAAGGTCATTCATTATTAATACTATTAGTAATATCTTCCATAAAGACTTTGATGCATAAAATATTTCTGCATAATTTAAATATTTATGATGAAGGTGGAAGGTTCCGTATTTTTGTCCAACTGAAGAATCTTGGTTTTATAAAATATGCCGACTTTTTAATGTTTAATGATTAACATGCTGTAATACACAGTTTAAAATTATTAAAAGTCTAAAGAGTATACAACTTCTTAGAGTATACAACAAATTCTTAATTGGAAAGAGATTATCTCTCAGCAGTGACCATGATTCGAAACTAGGCATTTTCTGGCGACAGCTCAAATGCTGTACATGAGATGTTAAGCTTTATTAGCTCCACCTGATGGTTTTGCAAGGTGTTTCCGGATACTAATATCATAACGTGGTATGTATGATGCGCCACGCCTACCGCGTTTTAAAACGGCTTACTTTGCACATTTTGAATGGCTGGATCTGTATACTTCTGATTCACTTAAAAGACACCTCCAGCACTGTACTGTATTTTGAGCACATTCAATTATTTTCTTGCATGTCTAAATAAAATGCGGGCATGTACCTTTAGTTTTTGTTGCAAACTCAGGACAAAATATCAAGGTTCCAGGACACCCTTATTACAAAGTACTAATAACTTTGATAAATCATGCTGAAGCTGCAGGACATTTCACGTGCTGGTGAAATATTAGCAGCAGCTCTGAGTAACATAGCAGCAGGGACTGTTCCTTGTGAGTGATGAAGTAGAACCACAAGCAGCAAAGAGCAGGAAACAGTATGTGAGACACTCTTTATACCAGAGGCTGATTTTTATTGTGATCACTTTCTGAAGAAATCAATGCAAATCCCCAAAATCAGTAACAGTGACTGTCTCTTTATACAGCACTAAACTAATGCATGTTGCTGGATAAAAGTTTGTACATAGCAATACCATGAGATTTTTGGTTTTCTGTGCATAGTATTTCACATCATAAACTCCTTGTACCTGCACAAAACTTTAGAAAGCCTGAGTTATCAGCCAAAGTAACACACTCCTTGCACCTGAAAATGTCATTTTATTTTTAAAATTTCCACTTCGTTGTGAGAAAGAATTTTAGCATTTACCTTTTAAGTGTACAAGATTGTAAATATTTGTTCTTGCTAACATACCTTTTCTGTCTAGTGACAGTAAGAAACAATAAATTGTAGACACATCATTTGATCTGCTGATGCTTATGCTATGACCACAAAATGTTTAGCTGAACTTCGCACTTTCTGTTTATATACTTTCTTCGGACCAAATTAAAGTTTCATTTCTTGAAATGAAAATGAAAGTGGTCAGTTACAAAGCAGTATTTGTATAAGAAAAACAATTCCTTATATGGAACTTTATGCTATGCTACCACAAACCTGCTGTATAAAACCCATTATCTTTGACATCATCATTCAGAGGCTGCTCTCCTATCTGTATGGTTGTTTCCTTTCCATGCACATGAATAAAGGACTCTGCTGAACCACACCTAACCTGAGTGAAGAGTTATCTCGACACAGGTCAGTACTAAAACCCTGAAAAACAAGAATAAATCAGTGGGCTGCTGTATTGTAGCACTTTACTGGTCCTCTGTAAGGTATGCATTGTCATGACTTTGTTCCAAATGCTTTTACCCAGTCATTCCAGTTTCCTCTTATGTGTCTAAATCATGTTAAAGCTCTAGATTAGTGATTCACAAACTATGGTATGTGTACCACTTCTGGAAATTTCTTGTGTGCATGGAAAAATTGGGATGGGTTTTCATACTTTCTATTTTAATAAAATTAGTTTGTGTCAAATGTGTACTACGATACAGCATGTGCCAATACCTGAGAGAACACAAGAGCTACAGTGTAATTCTATACCATTATATAGGAATGCATGCTACGAATGCAAGTGACCAATTGTATTTTAAAAAAGTTATCTCCAGAAAATAGGAAGGTAGGAGACTGTGCGTGATTTTGGAACAATGCCAGCCTTGTAAGCACAGGAAAACATAGAAATGCATACTACAAATGCAAGTGACCAATTGTATTTAAAAAAATCTTCAGCAAATAAGGAGGTAGGCGAATGTGCATGGTTTTGGAACACTGGCAATCTTGTGAGCACAGGAAAGCATGATAGATAACAGAAAATATTTAAGGACTGTTAGGTTAATTTGAAAAAAAAAATACACCTAGTGTCTCTGTGTTTCGCTCGCATGCGCCTGAAATATAAACTTCTTTTAACTTCTGAGACGGACTTATGAAACTTCTGAAAACATCTGAATCTGCAAGCTTGCGGATTGCTGAAGCAGATATGCTCCACATTACTTGTGAAGAACTTTGTTTACCATTGGCAAAAGAGCTGACACGTATTATGTGTGGAGAAAAAGCTGCTAAACAGCTCGGCCTGCTGCCACCTTCGAAAGACACAGTCATTTGTAGAATTATTGATATGGAGGATGATGTCAAAAGTACGCTGATAGAGCATGTTAAGATGAGCAGATGCTTTTCACTGGAATTAGATGAGTCTGTAGATGCCTTTGATTTGGCCAATTTGCTTATGTACTTTAGATACGAGTTTGAGGGTATGTCCCATGAGGACTTTCTGTTCTGTAAGCCGCTTCCAACAGGAACTACAGGAGAGCACATATATCAGCTTCTGAGTGAATGTATCGAAGAGAATGGCCTCGACTGGATAAAATGCGTCAGAGTTTGTACAGACGGTGCTAGAGCGATGACAAGCCGACACAGTGGTGTAGTCACACAAATTAACGGAGTTTATTTAATGAATGTTTGTGAGGGATGACAACAACCACGTTCAATCATTCCCAGCCATCAGTGATTAACAATCACTCCCTTCGTCCTTCCTCCACCAAACACTATAAATACCAAATGCGATATCTCTCTCCCTCGCGTGCGACTTTTGCATACTTGGGGGCGTCTCTTCGCGTAGCACAAGCCAGTTCTTTTTCCTCTCCCATTTCGATCAGTTTTTGATCGACTTCGAAATATCCCACATTTCATTGTCTGTCCTTTTGTTATTGCAACGGATTCGGGTTCTAGGGCTTGTGCCCTTGCCGCTCCCACCCTAGTTCATGCCTCACTGCATGGGCTTGAACCCAGGTCTTGCCAGCTGAGCTAAAGCAGACCTTTTTAAGTAAAAAAGGACATACAATGGAAATATATAAAAAGTATAAGTTTCAGCTTTTATAATTGTGAATTCCTCTGGATGTGGTGTCTATTTCTGTATCTTATTTCATATTCTGTCTCCGTTTTTGTATTTCTGGTGTTTAAATAAAAACTTTTTTTAAAAGCCCACTGTGCACTATTCCATACATTCATTCAACTACCTGTTGCAATAACAAAAGGACAGACACTGAAATGTGGGCTATTTTGAAGTCGCAAATGTGAGATATGAAGTCGCCATTCTGAGTTACTAAGTCGCAGTTCTGAGATATAAAGTCAGAATTCTGAGTTACTAAGTCGGAATTCTGAGTTACTAAGTTGCAATTGATGCAGATGCAGCCATTCAAAGTGCGCGGCACAGACACGTAATTAATACGATATTAATTTTGGAACATAAACATACAGTATATGGCTGGTCTCGGTACTTTAAAGAAAAAATACACACCAGTATTCCATTTCTCCCTAAACATTTTAAGCATCGAATTCTTTAACTAACGTGATACCGGAGTCAACAAGCATACTTTTAGAATTTGATTAAATTAGCCATCAGTGATTAGCAATCACTCCCTTTGTCCCTCCTCCACTGAATGCTATAAATACAAAATGCGGTATCTCCCTCCCTCATGTGCGACTTTTGCATCCCACCTCCACCCCAACTCCACCTCTGCAGCTACCTCTTGGTTACCCTGCACGGGGGTCCTGGCTTCCTCGTCTTACGGCCAGGACCCACAATAGTTCGTTATGCTTTGATTTTGGACGTTGTCATTCCCCATGAAAAGAGGTTGCTCTAGATATGAAGTGGACACACTGCAGTATCCACCGCGAGGCTGTCAAGAAAATGCCTGAGGATTTAAAATCTGTTAGACTCTGTTGTGAATTGTATCAAGGCTCGACCAATGAATTCACATCTGCTTTGCTCGACTACACAGACTCACCCCTCTGGTGCTTTTTTATTCTTTATTTTTAATTGTTGTTGTTCCTGCTGTCATTTTACAAAGTGCTTTGAGAAGCCACCTTTAAAGGCGCAATATCAAAGTTTATTATAATATTTATTATATGTGTATGTGAGTGTGTGTGCACGTTCGCTCATGTTGGTCATTGAGATTTTCTGTGGTACTTGGATGCTTTGGTTTGATCACAGGTGGCATTTGGTCCAAAAAGTTTGAGAAACACTGCTCTAGATTACATGGGATCACCTTAGTAGTTTTTGTTCTGCTGCACATATCTGTGAAAGATAAGCAGTTTGAGAAACATGATTATATTTTTATAAACCTTCTAGAGGTAATACTGTATACAGACAGTTTACCTGAAGTTGTCTCTTGCACTGAAAAATATAGCAAAACAAATAATGAACACAGTACATGGAGAGAAAATTGGTTTATTTTAAAAAAACACTCTCTCCAAATTTACAGCAAATAAAGTTATTAATGAAAAACTAATAGAGAATAATCAAACAGTAACATGGCTCTTTTGTATTCTTATTTCTGAACACATCAAATCAAAGTAATCAAAACCAAAAGTCCAATGATGGTGAAAAATGAATAAAGCAACATCTTGAGTTCACATTTTCTTATTCATTTACTCCAGGCAGTCACATTCTAAAACATACTAATTTATGCCTTATTGAAACATTATTAAAGACGATATACTGCATTCCTCTTCTAGTAGGTATTGCCTTTTCTGGTATTATTTGATTTGTAACTTTTGGGCAAGTTGAAATAAACATTAAAACTGCTTATTGCCTTGATTCTATGTCCTATAAATTGAAAGCAGTGTGACTTTGATTGTGTCTCCAAGGTGTTCACTTAAGGTTTGAAGTTGATAGATTAGCTCAGGTAAATACTATATTGCCAGCTAAAAAATACGTTGTGACACCAGGTGTGTCTATATTAAGTGTGTTCAGAAGATGGCCTGTCCTTTATCCCTTTATATAAGGCAGCTTCACAAGCTTAGAAATACATCTGAACTATTGTTAGTCTTTGCTCTAAGAACTAATACAGATTTTCTTTCATGGGAAGGGGAGCCGACAATATTTTGGACTTTGTGTTTCTAAGGCGAATAGGGGAGCTGTGCATGTAGCACAACAATTATTTTTCTAACTAACACAATACGCATTATTACATGTAAAGAGGTTCTCTTTATCCTGAGCTGCTGTCTTCTGCAGAGCAGTAAATTTGAGAGCCATATTGGTACAGAAGGTTCTGAATGATTGTTGTAGTGGATGTATTGACACATTTAAACGGCCGCTGTGAACAGGAATGTGCTGGAAAGGCAGGCTCTAGAATTACAGGTACCCCTTTAAAATGCTGGTTTTGAGGTGGCTTTTTTAATGCAGGCGTCTAATCAAAGCTGCATCAGCTTGTCAGGATGATAAACCATTGATGAGTTGATGCGAGGCATCTAGGGAAGGCCTTATCCTGCCATGTGGTTTGGTATTGGTAGACATTCGTTTAAAAAACATGTGTCTCTCTGAAAGGTGACTCTTTCAGGTTTAACTCTGAAAGGTTTAAAGTTAAACCGAACAAATGTTGGATTGGTTTTTCTTTGCTTATCCCAGGCATTCACTGCACTATTAATGCCATCAAGCTGTACCAATGATCCTTCTCCTTTCCAGGTCAACATGGCAACAACTTTGTATCTAATTGGAGGACATGGAGGCGATGCCTTTTCCTTTGATGGCCAGAATGACGGTGCCACACTGGAGAAGATTGGTGTGTGGGTAGGGGGCTCGCAGGTGAAGGCTGTGAAGATCTGGCTGACCAATGGGGAGGTCCGAGAGTTTGGGAGACCAGGTACAGGTTACCAGGAGTTCAAGTTTGAACCCGGCGAGTTCTTCACCTCCCTCTCTCTGTGGGGGAACGGAGCTGGGACCCGCCTGGGAGCCATCAAGTTCAAGACCAGCCGCGGCAGGGAGTTCTTTGCGAAAATGACCAGCTGGGGGCTAAAGACGGAGTACCCCATAGATGTGGGTTCAGGGATCTGCCTGGGGGTTAGGGGGAGGTCGGGCTACGACATTGACTGCATGGGCTTCATCTTCATCAATGCCATCGAGTCCACAGTCATTACCAACATGGAGTACCCCACTCTGAAGCAAGTCATCCCCCAGGTGAACATGGAGGAGATCAAGTCCATGACGTACACCAACAGCTCCTCTGTTGCCCAGGAGTACACCCTGAAAACCTCCAAAACCATAACCAAGACCTCCTCGTGGTCCGTCACCAACAACATGCAGTTCACCTTCAACATGCAAGTGACGGCAGGAATCCCGGGTCTAGTGGAAGCTTCCACTGGGTTCAGCTGGACAGTGGGAAATGAAGACACCTATAAGCTGGAGAACAAAACGGAGACAAAGGAGGAGCTGTCATTCAAGATCCAAGTCCCTGCAAAGAAAACCATGGAAGTTGCCATCACACTCGGTCATGCAAATGTTGATCTTCCATACAAGGGCACTGTTAAAGTAACCTGCAGGAATGGAAGTGTGCTCTGGTTCAACACCAGGGGCGTCTACAAAGGCCTCACCTACACTGAAGGGAACATAGATGTGAAGGAGAAAACATACGAATGATGGACGAACCAGGTCTTTCTGATTGTCTGGTTATAGCTACTGTATGTACTGGAAGGAAAATGCTGAAAATAAAACCTTTCAAGTCAAACAAACATTTCTCAGCTGTCTTTAATTGTAAACTAGATCCAGTTTCACAGACTGGACCAGTAAGTCAGTGGTATTGACCTACTAACCTCTCTCCTCTTTGAAATACTCCAGCAAGAGTGCACAAGGTTACACTTCCACTACAGGGCATTCATTTTAGCTTGTATGTGGCTGTTATGTTTTCAACAGACAATCCTGTTTGTGTTGCCTCTGGGCTTGGAGCTTTTGTCTTTGTTTAAGCTATAGCTGAGCAGACCAACCCAAACTACTACTTTTCCACAGATAAGAACACTTAATCTAGCACCTTCCTAATCTTGACACTTAATTATAGATATATACCATTCTGTAACTATAATCTAGTATTCAAATAATAAAGTTGCCTAATTAAGATCATTGAAGGAGCAGGTTGTTTATTCAGTAATGTCATCTACAACTCTTGCAGGATGTTTTTTTTGTTGGCAATGGAAGACTAACCAATGTATATTAAGCAACAGTCAGATCAGTGTCTTCTTGCAGCTGATGGTTTACCTCCTGACTTTACCTCCCTGGTGTTTTCATTGGCATTAGTGTTATTCAGCCACATTGGGACAGTGTGCATACTGAACCAAGGTCCAAAACTGTCCCACCAGCATGTCATCACTTCAGTCCCCAAAGTGAAGGATTATTCTGTGGGTGAAGGTGTTTTTCCTGCAAATAAAAGCCAAGTGCTTCCTGTGTTGTACCACCTGCTCATTTCCAAGGCCAAGGACTGGGCTGTTCTACAACAGCTCTTCACGAGTCCTCTGTTTTTCAATTGGTCTTGCCCAGATACTCTAGTTCTTGCTTATGCACCAGAGACAAGTTAATTAATCCTTAAATTGCATATGCATGTGTGGCAGTGAGCAGAGCGGTGGCTCTGTGGCTAAGGATCTGCACCTGTGGCTAGAAGGTTGCCAGTTCAAATCCTGCAGCTGGCAGAGAAATCCTACTCTGTTGGGCCCCTTGAACAAGGCCCTTAACCCCAACTGCTCCAGGGGCACAATACAATGATAGACCCTAGGCTTTCTCCCTGTCTGTGTTTCTCATGGAGAGAAATCTGGGGTGTGTGAAAAGATAATTCCAAATGCATGGAATTGTAAAGGGTTAATAAAGTGATGATATTATTATTACGGACGTGGTCTCTAGTCCGTGTCAGGTTTTGTAGTAGACCCTATGTAGTAGACCCTATAGAACCTAAGAGCTGGAGGAAACAGGAGGCGGTTTATGGGAAAACACACAGGGCTTTTAATGGTGCCCAAAATAACAGTGACAGTACGTGAGACAGTGAGTGGGGGAGACAAAGACTGGCATCCAAATCTGGGCAGATCCAAAGGCAGGTCAGGGCACAGTCCAGGAGTCCATCAACAATGAATCCATCTTCTCACACCTGGAGATGGCTCCAGTGCCTTCAATACCATCCAGCCCTTACTTCTAAGGAGGAACCTGGAGGAGATGCAAGTTGATGCCTCCATGACCTCGTGGATCACTGACTACCTGACAGGCAGACCACAGTCTGTGAGACTTCAGAACTGTGTGTCTGAACAGGTAGTGAGTAACATAGGGGCTCCTCAGGGGACGGTTCTTTCTCCATTCCACTTCACCCTCTATACTTCGGAACCTCTTAACACCATTGACATATTTAGACAATTTCTGCCCCTTAAATATTTATTATATCTCTGCAGCAGAACATAGCAGGAGCCTGGTTCAGGTCTTAAATTGAAGCTAACCCCCTTGGCTTTGAGTGTGAATAGTCAAATTTTTTATATTTCGTAATGTGTCCATTCAGCAGGCAAGCATATGAAAAAAAAAACAGCTGGCAAACATGTTTTTTTGGTCTTCAGTGGTCAGATTTTTCAACTATATGCATGTCAAGGGCCTGGGAATGATTTGAAAACCTTGTTCTAGGTAACTACTAGCTTGGATAAAAATCTGAGACAAATTGATCAATTAGAAAAAAGTCTACAGCATGTTTTGTGAAGATTGGACCTGGAATGAAATTAATAAATTAATAAAAAATCATGAAAATATTGAAAATAAGAATAATAACCATTGCAATTTCTATAAAAACCTTTAAACACTGCTAGAGAGCCTTTATCTGCTGTTATGCAATGAAAAAAACCTCCAAGTTGCCTTCTGGTGTGGAAAAAAGGAGCACTGATAAGAAACTGATAAAAAACTGATTGATTACCCCTTCTGAGTCAATGATTGACAGCTAAAAGGCAGGGGGAATGCAGCCTGAAGCTTCTAGAGGAAGTCTCACCCCCTAAGGGCTCTGAATGGCTGAAAATATAATGAATGACATCGGTTTTTACCAATCAGATCACCTTATTTCTAGCGGTCGTTCTTCATTTACTACATAATCAATAACGTTCACTAGTCTCCAGCTCTGAACATAAACTAGTCTGGGTTATTTAGGATATATATCATGCTTCAGAATAAGGTAAAAACATGGGATATATATATATATTTGCTGGTTTTTGCTTTTGCGGTTTTGTTGGTAAAAATGTATGATATTGACATGCTGTGGTGGCCGGGTGGCCGGGTGTTTTTATTGGGATTCTGGTAGTTCATTAATTTATTGGTTTATTGCATAATAGTGTAATGTCTGTGGAAACAAACTTTATGGTTTTGTTGTGGTGATATTGGAGAATACGTGCATGTGAGAAAAGTTGTGGAGCAGTTTCAAACGTTGTTTATCTCGCGTTTATCTTAAAAATAAAAAGTGTCATCTGGGGAGACAGGAGTAGTCACCGGTGACCTCGATACGGACAACTCAAAGTCATGCCACCTGCAGAAGTTCTCAGATGACTGCAATTGTGGGATGCATCAAGGGTGGGCAGGAGGAGGAGTACAGAGGACTGGTCAGCAGCTTTGTGGAGTGGTGTGGGGAGAACCACTTGAAACTGAATGTACTGTAACAAAGACAAAGGAACTGGTGGTAGATTTCAGGAGGAAAAAGGTCAGACCTACTCCTGTCTACATCCATGGGAGTGGAGTGGAGAAAGTGCACTTGTACAATTACCTGGGAGTGCACATCGACGATAGACTGGCATGGTCTAAGAACATCGAGGCCATCTGTAAGAAGACCGACTTTACTTCTTGAGGAGGCTCAGGTCCTTCAATGTATGTAGTAAAATGCTACATATGTTCTATCAGTTGGTGGTAGCGAGCGCCATTTTTTACGCAGTGGTATGCTGGGGCCCTGGGATTAGAGCAGTGGATTCTAAAAGGCTCTCATTAGGAGAGCAAACTCTGTCATTGGGTCTGACCTGGACCCCTAGGAGGTAGGGGCTGAGAGGAGAATGGTGTCCAAACTAGAGGCCATCATGGACAACATTTCCCATCCCCTCTATGACAGGCTTGCAGAAATGAAGACCACGTTCAGCAATAGACCGATTCATCCACGGTGCGACAGGGAGCGCTACAGGAGGTCATTCTTGCCTTCTGCAATAAGACTGTAAAGCGCATCCACTTTGTGTCTGGGCAGAGATAACATTGACAGTGACCTGTTTCTGGACTGAACACATCTACACATCTACTGCTACATCTGCTCTCTTTCTTTTCCCGTTTACAACCGTTTTTTGTGCAATATATGCCAGGGACCCGTGCAATACATTTATATTTATATTTATATCTATATTTACATCTATATTTATATTCATATGTGCAATACGGTTTTTCTGCGTACTGTTCTGTTCTAGTTTGTTCTTTGTGTGTCCTGGACTGTAACTCGTTGAGAGCACCCCTCACTGTACTGATTGTATTGTATGTATTGTATTATTATTATTGTATCATTCGTTACACTGTGGCTGTGTTGTCTGTGTTAAGCTGCTGTTGCACTGCAATTTCCCTCACGGGATCAATAAAGTATCTATCTTCTGACACGACAAGGTTAAAATCCCAGGGAAGGGGGAAAACACGAACACTCGGAAAACATGGAGGTCCTAGAATGATGGTGTGAGTTCCTCCAGACCCTCAGGAGACGGATGTAACCTGGTTCTAGGTGGGCCTCGCGACATCCGTACCTTAATGTTGAGCCCCGAGGACTGGGGGAGCTAGATTTTAAATAACAGTACGTTAATAGGCTACACCTGGGGAATACAGTATTAATCCCGGGACTAATGACGGAAGTAGTGGAGTGCCCGCTAGGGGAGGAATGTTGGGTGTGACAGCATGTCCCTTTCTATTAACGAGTGTCTGGTCTAGGGTACAGTACCAACCTACACCCTGTGCCTTTAACATGGGATCTAGGTTGCACAACCTTTAGAGACATAAGAAGCTTTTGGATTAATATATATATTGTATTTATACATAAGAACATGGATATAGATGCACAGGCTTGTATTATGTCAATTATTGTTATGAATATGGGCTACCTGTGCTTTATAAAAGCTCCAAAACCAGGATTTTTGGTTGATTTCCCTCTCCTTATGTCTGTTCACCATCTGTGTGATAAAAACAGAAATAGTTGGCGCTCTCCTCATTGACAATGAGAAAAAAGCTGGTCCCCAGGTAGCCTGGATGACACATATCAATCTGACACTACAGAAGATGTGTAGATCACACTGGAGAAGTATTGGGAATCTTCCAAGATGTCAGACAAATCCAGTTTACACCTATTTCACTGACATTTTTGTAAAAACTGCACCAGGTATTAGATCTTGTTTATATTAAAGTTAGATCACTGCGCAGTGGTGGACGGTGTGCTATTTTGTCAGTAACCTTCTAATCTGTTTAACAACTATAGAAAACATTATTTTATTTCTATACAGAATGCATGTTAAGTTTACAAAATTAAAGTGTTTCATATGTTTAATTAAGAAGTAGTGCAGTCTGCAAAGGAACAAGTAATAGGTTTATTCCATGCTGAAAACAGAAGAGAGAAAACACAACGTTTC